TGCTGCGAGCCGGCCCAGAGTGGGCTTCAAGGCAGAGATTCCGCAGTAGGCCGACGGTATCCGGACAGACCCACCCACATCAGTGCCTGAGAAACAGGATTCCGCGCAGCATGGGTTGAAGTAGAGGAATGGCTGACTCTTGGTTGCGATCCTAGGCACCGATGCCAAATGGTGAAGCTCCACCGCCTACCCTGAGACTAGTCAGAGCAAGAAAGAAGAGAAATCTTGTCCGACTGGAATCCTCTTGCAACTTTGCACGCGAACATAATGTGCCAAGTCTCAATGCACCCTCCCCCGAACTGCTGCCGCCGGAAGTACGACGAGTGTCCCAGGGGTTGAGCGTGTCGCCATGGGCCGGGCTCCCTCCACCAATACTTAGACTGCAATCATCACATCCAACTCTTCCGGCAAGTGGCGGCAACGGTATCTTCACATCGAGCCAAGCTGCGACATCCCAAGCTGAGTCATTGTCGACTTTGCAAAGGGAATTGCACCCAAAGCCTGATTCACGATGCCTTTCATGAAGCACATCCCAGGTATGTTGCAATTCCAACAAGTTACTGCCCCAAGGGACTCGCAGCACGGCAACCACGTTGTCATCCCTCGAGCTTTTCAGCCCATGCCTCGCAACTAGCTCCAACAAGCCTGCGACGAGGTTGCGGGTTCCCTGCTGCAGGCAAGCCACCTTTTCAGCGTCTTCGTGCCATAAGTCAAAGGCGTGCCCGCCACAGCTATGTGGTCCTGATCCAAGCAGCAACCAAAAGAAACCAAAGCAAAAGCAGCAGATTGCAGAAGCGGCGGAATCTCCGGATGCCGGCCTTAACAGTGAAGGGGATCCCGTGCAAGGGGCCGAGGACTTCGCCAGTGCGTTGAAGGTACTCGTCCGCCTGACCATGAGATACAGTACATTGGATTTGCCATGATCTATGCATTCTTTCATGGTTTCGAGGGACGGGACGACGATGTGCCTTGCATGCTTCGAGCTCTGCATCCGGAATCCAGAATGCCACTGCATTGCAAGCATGGTGAATCTCCTCCTTAGCAGCCAGGATCTCTGCTGAATGCTGCAATCATCTTGCACCATGGGAATCATCGCCAAGGATCAGCCCGAGCCCTGTACGCTTGGAGCACTTGCTGCGCTGAGAAGTGCTGCTCTCGGATTGCAGCGGCGAGTTCCTCGATGTCGAGACCAAGTATTGATGCCATCTATCTCCTAGGCACAGGCATGTGCTCAAAAGAACGGTCCATTGAACACCACTCAACAAGCTGCGCTGACTCTGCAGTTGGCAAAAGAGCTCCTGTTGAAGTCAGCAGGCAAATCTGACAATGGAAGTCAACATCGGGCAAAGCAAAAGACTTATTGGTGTTTCGCAGAGGCCCCACATCTGTGTTTGCTGTGGACTGGATCCGGGCGTCTGAACTGCGAACCACATTGTGCTTCTGTGAAGCATCGTAAAGGGATGCAGGAGTTGTAGTTTGCCGCACTGCTTGTGCGAGGCTACGAGAGAGCATGAAATGCGCTGGAGCACCATCTGAGCCAGCAGGCAGGCAAACCATGCAATCAAGATCAGCACTCGGACTTGGAGCAACCAGCCCGTCCCATGTGGCGCCGGCTTCTTTTTCTTTGCGCAGTTCCTCCTCCTTAGAGAGCCAGGACATTCCATGAAAGGGTCCAAGCCTGAAGGTGAAGGTCCCGACCGGCGAAGGCCCGCCATCAGCGCCTCTCCCGCTCCAGGATGCAAAAAGGAAATCTCTTTCCTTCCAGATTCCGGCCTCCCTCGCCATCAGCTGCATCAGCCATCAACGGAAACGGGGAGGCTCATTCCGTTCTCCCATTCTGTCAACATCTGTTCACACGATTCGAAAGAAGTCACCCGGTAAGTCACAGGGTCAGGAAGCCTGGGGTTCGACTAGCTTGTGAGCTGTTGTAGGCATGTGACGGTATGCGGACTGCCTGTTTCCACAAGCATTGCAGGTGTTCACTTGCAATTGGCCTAACTGCAACGCGGCTGCAACCATGCGACAAGAGAACGATGTCATGCATCTCGTAGTTATTCAGGAACGGTGCTTGGATGTGCTTTGGTCATGGTTTCCCCCCCCCCCCAGCCCCTGAAGCCGGAGGCACCATCGGAGAGCTCCACGGTGTAGCGCCCGGTAGTGGCGCTGAAGCAGCGCACCAAGCCCAGTTCGCCGTTGAGCTCCGCCGCTCCGGGCGAATGCAGGTCGTGCAATCGCACCTGGAACGTGGCAAATGCAATGTATCGAACACAAGGATTCTCTCATTTTCTGTTTGTATTCACTTTCGCACTTTTCGTTCACTCCCGCTGCCTGCTACTCAGGAGCGACAAGTACTTCACTGTACGGCTTTTGGATGCATGAGGTGCATGGGAGGTGTGGGGTTATGTAAGCTGGTTATTTTAAAACAGCATTCAGGTGGTGCAGAGAACTCGCGACCCGCCCTTTCAGATATTCGTCTAGTTCCACACAGAAGAGAGACAAGAGGACTGCACCTTCACAGACGAACCAGGACAGTGTCGTTTCGACAACCTGACAAGGCAGCATGGCCCATAGACTGCAGCGCCTGGATACAAGACTACGTGACGGGATGTAGGATTGAAAGTGAGAAGTTCGTGATGTTTCGTGTTCTGGTAGACACTTGGGATCCGACAGAGTTCAAACAATCACTTTCGGCCAGATCCGCTTCTGCATCTGTTCGGGTGCTCGGATCTTACGCCGTGGATCCGTCCATCGGCTTCCGTAAGTGAAAGCTTGTTTTGTTGTTCTCTTGGCTTGAACTGAGCGGAGACATGCGGAGACCACGTCGCGAAAGGCCGACAATGCACCAGTCTCGTTTGCATACCGCGCCTGGGAACCCACCGTAAAACCGGCGCCAGCTTCCATCGCACAAGGTGACTCCTGAGGCGCCTCTCAGCACGATACCAGAAGCATGACACGAATGAGAAGCGTGATGTTTCAGCTTCTGAGCTGTGTGCCGTCTTCTGGACCGAGTTCGAGTTCGAAGAGGCACTGACATGTTCTTGTTTGACCTGCTGCGTAGTAAAATCTGCAGAGCATCTCCAGAACCCACAGGCAGCAGGCAAGTCTGCTCAGAATTTCAGTCGCCAAGGATGTCAGCTGCCATGCCGAAGCTGCACCACTCTGCCATCACTCTCGCACACTAGGCCTTGCGGTACGCACCTGTCGCCATGCGGAGCACATACCTGACGCACGGCAGGGATCTGACGACAGAGACATGAGAGAGCGACTGCGAGGTGCTCTTTCACTATCACTCTCTCGGGTCTATGATGGCAGAAGCATGTGCCATGAAGGAGTACACACATAACAGAAAGTAGCAGTTGCTCCTGGCAGAGGCCACATCGTAGCCCTCCACGACAGCCTCTTGGCCGTTGAGCTCTACCTCATGTGAGCGATACACTACTGGCATTAGTCTCCACAACAAGGTCTTGGCCGCACTGCTTCTGACCCTTCGATCTGAGCTGCCGAGTGGGTGAGCCCGTTCACGACAACGTGCCTGCCTGCCCACCAACAACGGATGCAACAACAGCTTCGGCAGAGACAAAGGGCACCTTTCTGCAGCTCTGGTGCCGCAGTGCCTTCGAAGGTCTGAAGGCTTCAGTCAAGATCAGTCACATTGCATGTCTGCGATTTGCAGCAAGAACCCCTGGGGTCGAGTCTAGCGCGATGTCGTAGATGCCGCAATGCATGCTGGCTCGCGTTTGCATTGACAAACAAAGCCAGCACACCTCGGCAAGAGAAACGCTACAGAAAAAACGAGTCTCTCTCAACATGTCCCGAAGATATCATGAATCAGACCGCTAAGCAGAAGAAGAGCGAACAGTATTCGGCCTGATCGGCCCACACACTGTCCCGCACATCTACGACACCAGACTGCAGAAGACCCTCAAAGCTATCGCATCGAAAATGGAGCAAATGAATCAGAAGCAACGAACTCTCCCGAGTGAGAAAGAGAAAGAGAGAGAGAGAGAGAGAGATCCTTGTTTCGGCTACTCAATCACATGCGTCTTTGGCCGACACCAAGCCAGCGCAGCCTGGTGTTTTGAAGCCTGCCAGGTAGGCCCAGCTATTGTCCCTGCAAGCGGTCCTTTGTCAGTATCCCTTGCAAGTGACAGTCAATGTCATTCTTCTTTGTGCAAGTGCCTCATTGACACGGAATGGCGAATGGCCAGGGGTATCGCAGAGCCTGGAAGGCCAACATGGATCTGCCAAGCTTGCAAATGCCTTCCAAGAGCCCTGCGGCTCAGCAGTAAATCCTGAAACCACCTTGCCCTGTGTTTCAAGCTGTCCAAACCAGTAAAGTGTTGAGAGCTCGGACTCAATCAGAATCCATCGGAATCGCATGTAGAGGCCCGAATTGCCTCACCGCATCCAGCAGACGGACACCAGGGCTACTGCATCCCCGTGCCACCTGCAGGCTGCAAGTTATCAGAAGCCGCATGAGCGCAGAATGAGCTGCTGCCTCCAGACGGCGGGCACCTGGGGAACCCCACGCCGTCTTCGAGCCAGGACAATTTGAATGAAGCCCGGCCGAGTGCAGACGTGACATGCCCCTGTTCACACATCTCCAACATCTTCACGATCCAATGCTTCAGATGTTTCTCACCGGAGTGTAAAGTCTTGCGGTTCTCTCGTCTTCAGCTCAGCTGCATCTGCAGCTTCGTGCAGCCGTTCTGGTGCGTCATGTCAATGTCTGCACTTGGGCACCAGGGTCGAGAGCTACATGTGTGCGACATCCTGTACAGAGCGAGTCGTGAGGTCTCGTGCTGCAGAGGTTGCTGTGCAAGTGCTTAGTCGAGCTGCACCCTAGCTCATAATGTGAAAACCGGTTGCATGATCAATGATACTGCAATATCGGGCAAGAGATGCCACCGCCCTTTGGAGTTGGAACTCAAAGCAGAGCTATGCAAAGATTCAGCAGGGCGCCGCTTGTGCACCGAACTTTCCTCTCATTCACGGCCAAACTATTTGACCTTGCTGCTGTACTTTGCTTGCCATTCTGTCAAGGCCTCGGATCCCCACCGAACGCAAGAGTCAACTTGTCGCGCGATCCAAGGGCTCGGGCCACGCGCATCGATCGATTCAGCTTTACCACCCGCCGCCTGAGCCAAAGCACATCCGACGGAGCCAGCAATGACTCGCGCTCTGCTCCCGCACTTTTGCTTGATGGCGTGAAAAGCCTCCTGCAGAAGTCAGTCAAGCATAGTCACGCACTCGTGGCAAGCAACAGTTTCAGTAGAGTCCGCTTCCTCCCAGGTGGGGTAGAGACCAGCGCGGACTAAGCCTGGAAAGTTAGGCTTGCGGACTTTGGTTCGCGATCAAAGAAGCAGAATTAAACGCATCAGGAAAAGGCATGAGCTGCCACTGGGCGCTTCACAGGCACAGAGAGTGGTTGTTGACCGCCCACGGCCGTGAGCGCAGTGAACTAGCACCTGGAGAGGCACACAATTAGGGCAGGGCACGCATGAATCGCGCAAGCCTGATACAGCATCTGATAACTCAGAGAGCCCAGCATCTCCACGCTCGTGCGCAGCTACAGCGAACTGTGCCGCTTCCTGACGTCCGCGTTTAGGCAACCTTCCTCATGCTGGGAAAGTCGGAGCACGGTCACACTCACACAGTGATCCACAGTCTCCTCAAGCTGATCGGGTGTAGGTGGCACCTCAGATCCCAAGCTGCAAAAGTTGGCCGAGCCGAGCCGGCGACATCCGGCGCTTGGAAAGGCCAAGCCGAGCGCGCCATCCCAGCACTCAATAAGCAGATACCTGTCCTGCCAAAGGCTTTTGGCAAAAGAGCGAGGGGCAGCCACTTTCTGCACCGTTGACACATTTTGTGGCCTGAGTCGAAGTCTCTGGAAACTCGCAGGTAAGGTCAATGTTTCCGGCCTCGCAGCCATGCAGAATATGGAAATCCGTGACGTGACAACAAAAAAAACACAGACGGATCTGAGTTCAGCTCCCAACGCTTGCCAAGCCTGGGCCCACTCGTATCCGCACAGGTACACACATCTGCCATGCATCCTCTTTAAACAGGCCCGATGTGCTCGTTGCTGTAGCGGCCACCAACCCACCAGCCAGGCCTGCAGTTCCACAGCAAGCAGAGGGCCAGATGAGGAGGGATGATACACTGCATAAAGCATATTAAAGGAGTGCTAAAAGAGCGCTCAAACCAAACATTTCATCAAGCTGCTCGACTTCATCAGCCGGCGCCACACCGCTTTTGCGGTCGCGCTCTCGCTGGATCTTGCCAGGGTTGATACACTGTGCTCAGCCAGCAACAAGCTTGACTCACTCACGAGGTTGGTTATAAACTGTGCTTGCGAAGCATGTCCAGTGGACCAAACCACAACTTTCGACTCCACCTTCGTGTAGAGAAATGTAGGCCCGTGGAAGCCAAAGAAGAGCACGTAAGACCTTGGGTAAGCCAGACGTCTCTTGACTGTAACACATTGGCACGAGAGTTTTCAGACGTCTCCTTGCATCAAGCTGCCAAAGTGGGACAGAGCCCGAAACCTCGAAGACGCATCAAGCACGACCACAGCTCTGTTGGAGATCGCTGCGAGATCTCTTAGAGATTCGATGAACTGGGTCGCACGCAGGGTCCTTTCCCAAAATGCTCATACCTGGTGGGCCGGGATGCAAACTTGTGATGAACCTTCTCAATTGCGCTTCGGCGCCCAACCTAGTCGCAAATTAAAGAGGAGCGCAATGACTGCATTTATGAAGCTCACGTTGTAGAGGTACAACCCCATGAGCCTTCAGATGCAGCTGACAATCGCACTGGCAAAAGTCTCCACAGCTGGCTGGCATGCAGCTCTTGGACTTCACTTGTCGACTTGGCAACAGGCAGTTGAATGTTGCAGATGCTGGCCCTCAGCGCCGAATGAGAGTTGCCATCCGAGTTCGAGAGCCCTGTCTGCGTTAGGGAATTCGTTGAACTGCTGTTCCCACAAGAAAACCTGATTTGTCGTTAATGCATCCTGCGAGGGCCGAAACAAATGGGCAGCAGAGGCACCAGTCAGGGTCGTCGACGCTGAGCCAGCGGTCCACATCACTGGGCGTTATCATTCGGGCCTCGTCTGTTTGCTTGGCTCAGACTTCCGCGTGTTATTGCTTGTATTTCTGAGCGCAAAGCAGCAGTCGCCGCCATGCCGGCAAGCCCCACGTACTTCAGGGACCTCGCAAAACTCAATTAACGGCCGCGCACATAAACCAGACAGTCTGGGGCAGGGTCACTGCATGGACTGCTCCCATGGTTCAATGCCGCTGCGGAACTGCAATGTAATCCGGGAACGGGGAACTTCTCCGCTGCAATTTCATGTTCGGCAAGATCGACTCTCTACATTTGTAGGGTATGCGGTGGGTGAATATTCTGCAACTGTGGCTGCGAGGCACATCTAGTGTTGAGGAGGTGCGGGCTTGTTGAACACAATCGCCGCATGTGCATGTGCTTGCTCACAGCAACCCGCACAGAATGTGGGGGAATCGCAACTGAACAGCCGAACTCTGCAGCACCCCTGACTGTTCCCGAAGTCAAAGAGCAATTGCACAAAAGCACCGTAACCTCATGCTGGCGCACGTCGTGCTTCACCAAATCACTTGTGTCACATGTCGCAAGGCCTTTGGCCAGACTCTCGAAAGAGCCTCGTTTCCATGCTCTAGCGTCGCCTCCATCGACATTTTGCCGAAGAAGCTTGCGCTGGCATATGACAAGCTGTGGAAAGCTTCATCCACCTGTTGCCTCGTCTAGCTCCTACCAATCTACCAATATTACGATGGCCAGACCCGGTGGCTGTGGCATTCACGACTACCATGCATCTTCAAAGCCATTTGTTCTTCCTGCTTTTGACATGCCACGGCGATCGCTACGGGCCAGAGATTCCTAAAACCTTGAGTTAGCATGCATCCTGTTCTTTGCAGGCTAAATTCCATCTAAAAGTCACCCTGGGCAGCTCTTGCGTCGGCAATGCGAATCAGCAAGGCTTCAACCTGGAACTCGTAATCTGCGCAATGAGCCGTAGAGCCTAAGAGGTTTCCGATGCAGCCAGCGTGTCCTTGGGCCAGAGGTGGTTCGCCAGCTTGTTGTTTTTGGCCTCTGAACCACAACAACTCAACTGCCTCCCCATGCTCAGCAAGATCTCGCCACTCTCGGATCCAACTGAGGACTCCGCCGGCAAACCATCTTTGAGAATACCGCAGGTTTCCAGCGAGGCTTTGATCTGACCGGCACTCTAACCGAAACTCTACATTGAGGTGAGCATGCCGTGTTCCTTTTGTGACCGATCGAAACGCTGCATGTCATAGTACGACACACTCAGTGCACTCGCTGCTGCATCAAGCCGACCTGGTCCGCCATGAGTAGGGCCTCTGAGCACACCAGGTCAGATCTGGCTTCTGGGGGTTTAGGGTTTCGGGTCCTTGCATGACGTGCGACATACCGATGACGTCAAAGCAGATTTCCAGACAACGCCGAGAATGCTGCATTGGTATTCACGCTGGCCAGGCTCACGAGCAGCAGCACCAAATTTGTTGCACCTGTAGCCACTGCTGTCGCATCGGCTGTGAAAACCTTGTTCCCATGCTAACGGATCCTGCGATGCCAAGACATGCAAGACTGACTCTTTGCATCTCTTTGCATAGATTACGCACGAACTGTTGGGGTGTCTGGGAGATTCGCTGAGTCGGGACTCTGCTTTATTCAAACTATGCCACGACCTGTGAGTTGACCACGAAGCTTCATCACAGGCCCCATGCACAAGACCTATCTCTAAGGAGATGACACTCCTCGTTGGCCCAGTTCGCTAGCGCAAGCTCCTCGAGCATAACGGGGATGATGTGAGGACCCACCTGTCCAGAGCTCCCCTGAAGCTGACAAGATCACCGCAAGAGTTCAGAAGGCACGCCGCATGGCGGGGCACAATTGGCACCACAAAACGCGCACCGCACTTTGGTACGAACACCAGTCGCACCCTCGAAGTATGCACCGGACATCATGGGACTGTGGCAGCAAATAGACTTTTTGGGAGGTTCCTACCAAAATACGAAGGTCCGAGGAGCCGAATAGTCTGACCCCGAGCGACTTCGACTTGAAGGCCAAAACAGGCACGGGACTGTGGCAGGAGCGGGATTGCCACCCCTGATCTCGGACAGCGCTGTGGCAGCGCCCAGGTATTGGATTTTACAACGTCGGGCGGACAGGGCCTTGCAGCATGGGGCCATCACCATCCCTAAACCGGTTGTGAACGTAAGAACTCCATTGTGTTATGCCGCATTGCTTGGGAAGCTTGGGACACCAACAGAGCATTGACTCTTTGGCTCTGGAAGCCGCAGCTGCACAGAGACTTGTCGCCCAAGTCACTATAGCTGCTTCCTAGTCACCGCCGTGAGGCAAGAGAAGGCAATCGAACGTAATTGACTAGGAGGGCAGCCAGAACAGGCCCGATGTGCTCTGAGGTAAATAGGAACGCAACGCGTGCCTGGACTCTGGACAGCTGCGGAAGAAACTGAATCATCTCACTTTAGGCGCGTCGACAGCCGAAGACTGCACGCTAAGTAACAAAGCACGATAAATAGATCCGAAAGTAGTCGCAGACATTTACATGATGCTCCCCTGTTTCCGGGCAGTTCTGGTATTCGTATTTGCGGTGACAGTGTCAGGCTGCTCGTCTTCCCTTACACAAACAGAAAGCCCAACGGCCCACAGCTCAAGGCAATCGCACTTGTGGCGTCCGACACCTTGAGCTTGTTCTGTCCCAGCAGGCAAAGCCTTATGATCTCTGAGCAGAGTTTGTCTTGGGCCGGTGATCCACTCGACTGGAAACGACCCTGAGCACCCCGCTGCCGAAGGGCAAACAACAGCTTTGACTTCAGCTTCGTGTTCGGTTGTGCTGCATCGTTTACCTGAGGTAGGCTCATGGCCTTCAACTTCAATCACATGGCAACGTGAATCGAATTCCCTCCTAAATCCGCAAGCCTTTCAGAAAGCACGGCCTGAGGCCCACACCCACAGCAAACATGGGACAACCGGGAAGCTTTCTGTAATCAGGCTGCCTCGGGTGCAGATGTGAGGTTCTTGGTCAGGTTTTGCGTGGCGGGGGCATGGTGAGCCACGGGCGAGTCTCAGGATCGTTGCAAAGCTGACCCAGCACGCTGGCTACCTCGAGCGCCCGAACAGTCTTCCGGAAAAGCACCTGCGAGTGTTTCCTGCGCCAGCCTCTGCCAGAATGCGCTGCTTGCGCAAGTTCCTTGTCTGTGCAGCCCCCCAATATCCAAATCAATGCAATATCAGCTATCCAAAATCATCACATGAAAATAACCATCGGCTTGAACCACCCTTCAGCTGGATGGCTGGTAGGAAGATGTCAAGATGTCCACCAACAAGGGCACGCCACCCTGCCAGAGTCAGTGTCAGACTGTTGCAGACACCAGGAGGATCAAGTTGGAGACACTTCAGCAGCCGCGCCTCTCGCACCACGATGTATCCTTTGGTCGTGTGGCATACTCATTGCAGAGCTTTGGAATACCAGGCTTGGGCTAGCAGCTGTGGTGTGGCGTCTTCGTGAGGTTGACCAGAAGGAAAAGTCTTGGCAGAACTTCAAAGGGCGGCTCTTTCACATCGTGGCTACAGGTAAATGGGGCGCGACGTGTACAGTGTGAGCTCGTCATGCTTCGTCTTCAACTGCTTCACACCTGCACTGGGAGAAAGGTCGGAAGATACTGGGTTTCGAGGATGCGGCCCAGCCACACATGGAAATGACACCGTGGGAGACCAGGAGCTGCCTGGGCCGCACAAGGGCCCAAACCCAACCCCCGCTTTCGGATCATTTCCTCGGGCCCGTCGCTTCATGTTCTGTCGACCGCAGGAAAGGTTCACCAGGGACGCCTCAGCTCATGCAACGAACGAACGCACTTGCTGGATCCTGAGAACCCAGCAGTTGCGTAGGACATCAGGATATGGTTCGATCCGACCATCACCTGCAAGAGTTCGTGGGCGTAAACCCTAAACCCTAAACCCTGAACCCTAAACCTTAACCGCCAGGGGCCAGCAAAATTAAAAGAGATCTCAAAGCTAAAGAGGAGCAAGGCGCCTTGACCAGAGCAGGAACTAGCTGCTTCACCTCGTGCTCTTACAAGAGGCCACAATGTGATGACGGTCGCAGCTGGGGGTTTCCGAAAATAGGGGACCCTAATATAGTACCCTACATAGTGGGATCCTTATTATAAGGACCCCAAAGTAAGGTTCCCTAATTTTCGGAAACTCCCAGCTGGCTTTCACGATTATCATCAAAGGCATTGCTGCAACAGGGCTGCTGTCTTCTCGAACTTGGTGTCCTCCCGGTCATTCGTACCACCAAGCCTCGGCAAACACAGCACAACCGCTGTGCACGTGCCAATGCACATGGCGTAGTGTAAGGTCACTGCATGTCCAACACGTGCCGACAAACCATAGTTCCTCCGCCAACCGTGAGACGCCATCGCTTACCATGGGTACTTTTCCGTCGCTGCTGTATGCAAGCCCGGCCATGTTCATATCAGTCGACACTCACCAGCGCAAGTGCCGTGCCACTGCAGGCAGGCGGCGAAGACCCAAACCGACACTTTCGTCAGTCAGTAGCTGTGCCTAGGTTCGGATACACTGGGACCCACATCTGAAGACATTATGACATGGAGAGCGGGGATATAGAAGGTGTACGTCGGCTTTGCAGTCTGCTCCTGCTATCCGAACTTTGGGTCCCGACGAGCAAGTCGGCATAGTCGATACCCGCACCAGGGGGCCGCTTCTTCCTGAAGCGATCATGCTGCAGACCGATGAGCACGAGACATGGGAGTTTCAGAAAATTAGGGTACCTTATTTTGGGGTCCTTATAATAGGGATCCTATTATTTAGGGTACTATTTTAGGGTCCCCTATTTTCGGAAACCCCACATGATCAATTCATCCACACCACCGGCATCGTTTTGCTTGGCTCCCGGCAGCTCGCTCTCAACATAGCCCTCTGAAACGAGATGGCGCATGATGATGTCCTAGGCTTTTGTAAGCTGGGTTCATGCATCGCACCAGTCCCGCTGCAAAGAAAGCAATCCAAAGCTGTGCTGCTTGAGACTTCGGCATTGAAGGAATACTCTGCGAAGGCTTCAGATTCCTCGGTGGTCAAAGGCACGAAGAGAAAATGCTTACATGCCACAGCATGCCGGCAAGAATCAGCCGGCAGACTCTAAACATCTAACTTGCCTTCGTCATGGCGATCAAGCTTACGGGCTTCTCTTCCAGGAAGAGATTCGACTGCCAGCCCTTAGGAAAGCAGCAGCATTCAAGCATGCATTGCACTAAAGGCAGGCAACAGAAAGCAGGAATCACACACGAAATGCACCATAGAAGGGCTGCGGCATCCCGCTTGTTCACGTGCAGCAGGAAGTCGATTACTTCCTGGCCGTAGCTGCTTCCGCCAGTCAGTCGGGATGGATTTACATGACGCGCATTGATGACAGGCTCAAAATGAGGTGCCTTCATCTGCCGGTCGACATCAGCAGAAGACACTCGACCCAATGCTTGGATCTTAGTGCATCGGAAGCTGAAAAACTGCCCATCCTGGCTGAAAGCCTGCAGCAAACTCAGCCAGAAGCGAGGAGGGGAAACGTGAAGCGCTCGCCCATGATGCCACCATCCACACAGTAGGCAAAGTACCGCGCAATGCGAGCAGCCCAGGCGTTGCGGCGCTGGCGCAAGGGGCAGCCGACGACTGTTAGACTGAGACTCCATTATAATATAATAATAATTATTATTATTACTATTATTGTTATGATTATTATTATTATAATGCATGGCAGTGCCAGTAGTGCACGTACAACAACTCTACGAGACCACTGTACATTTCGATGCCTTGGGAGTTGGCTGTAAAGGTACTGGTATGTATTGCGATTGTGTGGAAGCACCTATTCAATCTCAGAGTTTTGACACGAAAAAAAACACCTCACGCAAAATCCGCGCGAAACGCCCACAAACAGGTGCTGGTGAGGTGCGTTCCTCAGCAGCTTTCCAGGCGTGGAGTTGCGCTTTCGACTGTCGCAAGCCAACCATAAGCAAGAGGCCAAGAGCTTATCTCAACTTTCAACGGGCGGAAGACATGGGACGTGGCAAGAGACGATGGCGAAAGTACGGCTCTGTGCTTGTATAGTGTATGTGTGCATGTATATGTATATATATATATATATACATGTGTGTATATATGTATACGTAGATTCGGATGCCCTTGCCAGCTTGTGTATCGTGGGGCCCTGTCCACAGGGACCGCAGCTGAAGGAGGTCTGGTCCACTCGACTCGGACCGTCCACCAAACAGGGTGCCGGATTGCAAAAC